CCAGGGGCCTCGAGAGGTCGAACGAGTACTCGTTATGTGAATTGTCGGTGCGGTGGTCAGCGCATTGTACCTTTTTCAGAAGCGTATTCCGCTGAGGTGGACTTGAAGTGAGCCGCCAAGTTACGTCGCCTCGTATACCATGTTCAACATCTCATTGCCTTCTCCTCTTGCGACGTCATCGACGACGAGAAGCTGAGCCAAGCAGACTGACTGCAGGGCCGATACTAACGTATGATCTGGCAAGTGCAGGGGTCGCTCTAGTCAGGACACGGTCGTTGTTCCAATTTATCTCTGCTATTTTGGTGCTACCGAGTCTGTGAGTCCGAGGTCCGCTCCAACACCTTTCATATACCAGTAGACAACAAAATAAACTTTTATAGACGAACATAGCAAAATAGACATGGGCCGCATGGCTGACGCTAGATGACCTCTGTCCAGCTGCCAATGCTGCTGGTGTCGTCGCTGCTCTCGTCGTCGGTTGACGTCATCTCCGAGATGGAGAGGAACTTGCGCGCCGGCACCTTCTTCCGACCGCGACGACCCGCCTGCTTGCGCTTGAGAGCGACCTCAAACTCGTTGCGAGCGCACTTGAGCTCGAAGAGCGCGTCAATGTCCGTCTGCGCAAAGTCGGTCGCTGGCTTGTAGTAGACGCGGTTGAAGTTGCGCGAGATGCGTCGGCCGAGGAGCGATCGGCTCTCGTTGAGGCGCTTGGAAATGCGCATGGGGTCGCATTGCAGCTCGTGGGCGACGTACTGGCGGAGAGGGAGGTCGTGCGCGTGGTCTTCGAGGATGCCCTTGAGGAAGCAGTGCACGAGGTGGTAGAGGAAGACTTCTTCGGCGTGCGTCCAGCGGCTGCGGTTGGGGTAGCGCATGCTTGGTGTCGTTGGCCAAATCGCAAATGAGCATGCAGACGCTGCGTCGCTCGTAGCGCGTGACCCGCCGACGTCAAATGGCAACCGCAACGCGCCGCAGTATCTAGCAACCAAGTGCACTCGACATACAGTAGCGATCTTAGTTGTAGGGGGTTGGAGCGATCTGGTCGGCAGCGCAGATGGTGACGATTGTGGACATCATTGAAGCTCATCTATCTTCGTGCGGCGACTGAGTTGAAGGCGCGAGAAACGCTTCGGAATGGCCCAAGCCGATCGCTCGCAAGGTGGTGTGCAACGACGTCGTACTACATAAGGGAATTGGGTCGTTGCATCGGCATGTGGTGGCGCTACCCGGACGGTGGTTTGGCGAGGAATTCGCTCATGTAGTCACGTGTTAGATTCGTGGATGGTGGGAGGCAAGGCGCGGGTGCTTCTCGTTGAAGGAGGCGAGGAGACTTTAGCAGTAGAAAGCACACGTTCGGTCGCAGAAGCCCTTGCTTGTACCGCAGTAGTACGCCCGTGCTGCTTCAACCGGTGGAATTGGAAACGACTCGCGTTGGGACTCATTCTGAGCAACGTCATTTCTATTGGCCGGGCTATCAGTGACATCCGCACCGCGTCGCCCAAGCATGTCCTCGTCGACGGGTAATGCGTGAGGAGATCCTGCAGCGTTCATATCAACCGAGACTAACGGCCTTGTACAGTCTTCCTGCTGCATAAACCAACGAAACACGAACGCATGCTCCAGAACTAAAATCATGTAGTCATGTCGAAAGCAGCCATGATATACAGCACACGGGGCAAGCAGATAGAGATGCAACAACGGCACTACTGTTCCTTAGCCGCGCAAGTTGCCGGTGGCCATATCGAGGCGGCGGGTGTCATCAGGCGTCGGCTTGGCGATCTCCGTGTCGAGGCGGCGGGTGTCATCGGGCGTCGGCTTGGCGATCTTCGTGTCGAGGCGGCGGGTGTCATTGGG